AGCATGCATCTTTTCAATGTTGAAATCCTTCTGCCTCTGCTTGCTTTTCTTAAAAAAAAAAAAAAAAAAGCGAAGTTAAAAACTTTCCATTTGGATTGGATGATGGATCTCCTTTTTTGGGGGTGGGTGGGAATGCAAAACTTAAATTCAAAACCCGAAAATGAGTCCTGCTGGTGAATTTTAATTTTAATCTTTGTTCAGGCTGCTATGTTCTCAAGGTAGAGGCATCTAATTCAGGAATAAACTGGAGTTTCTTTGATTAGCTTTTGGGTGAATTTTCTCTATTCTTTGTACTTCTGGATAATGAGGGCAGATCGAAAGCGTGGTGTAATTTGTAAGAACTCTCATCCTGGGCTCGATTTTTGTAATGTGTTGGAGATTCATAATGGTTCCAGTTTGTAAGCTTACGTCTCTCTCTTTTTGTTTCTCTTTTTGGCTGATTTTGTCCTCATCCAGAGCCGATGCGAGATGGAGAAATATTTGACCCAGCAACTTCCTCCCTTGCCCCCACTTTCCGAGCACAAAAAGTATCGCCGGGACAGTGCCTCGGTGGTGGATCAGTTCTTCACCAACGGTGACGGTGTGCCTTACAGCGTCAACATGAACCTCTACTTGCCGGATCTGTCCCAGTTAAGGACGGGCCTCTTCAAAGCCCCGAGAGGCCCCGCGACCCACATCAAGACAGAGCCGGTCGGTGCCTTCAGCCACCAGAGTGAGGCAGCTCCTGGGGTCCCCAACTCCGCCCAGGCTCTCCCTGAGTTTACAAGCATCTTCAGCCCCCACCAGGCTCCGGATGTCAACAGCCTCTTCATCAAGCAGGAGATGTCTGCCTCCGATCTAGGCCTCTCTGTGCCTGGGCCCCAGCAAGGCCAGCTGTACCAGCTCCTCAGCTCTCCCGATTTAGACCTGCCGAATGGGGCAGGGATGGACTCCCTTAGCAACGTCTCCCTGTCTTCCTCCATGACAGGCCTGAACACCCTCTCTCCAGCCATGCCCCAGAACTCCATGAAACAGTTCCATGGGGTGCCTCCCTGCACATACGCCATGCCCAGTCAGTTTCTGCAGCAGCCAGCCACCTACTTCCCCCCTTCGCCGCCGAGTTCGGAACCTGGCAGCCCCGACCGACAGGTGGAAATGATGCAGAATTTAACACCGCCTCCGTCTTACGCTGCCACCATCGCTTCCAAGTTGGCCATCCACAACCCGAACTTGAATGCGAGCATGCCCATGAATTCGCCGAGCATCCCAACCATCAGATATAATCGGAGGAGTAACCCCGACTTGGAGAAGAGGCGGATTCATTACTGTGACTACCCTGGTAAGCTTGAGGAAGGCGGAGAGACAAACTCTCCGAGAAAGAGGCCCTTTCGTCGCGAGAGTCTTTCCAGAAACCCTTTCCAAATGTTTTTTTTCCCCTCTTGTGCAATGTGCCTGCCGATCTGCTCAAATAGAGCCTTTTGCAAAAGAAGAAAACATTTAATAAAATAATGCACCTTAAGCACATGCAAGGTTTAAATGTAATGTAGCCAACGCCCTAAGCCAGCGTTCCACATCTCAGACCTGAACATTCCTGTGAGCTTCTTGGCTCAGAATGATGGGAAATGTAGTTCGCTTACTAGGATGGGGAAGACCAGCACTCATAGCTACTTGAAGAAAAGTGTGTTCCCTTTTTTCTTCATGTTTTTGGCTGCGTTTCTGCTCCTTGATATCTTTCCCGCCCCCAATGTGTGTCTTCCCAGACAGATAACAGATTCTGTTATGTGTTAATAACTGATTTTTGCTGTAGAACACGTAGCTTATAAGAGAAGTGGATAAAACGAGAGGTGCGTAATTATAATATTCTTGATTGATTAACTCAGCTTGCATGTTTAGGGCAGGAAATGTATTGAGCTGTAAAATTTAGGTGTGGTTGATTGCGATTTGTGTGTATCGCTAGCAGCTCTCTCTTTGCTCTCGGCAAAAGCTAGAAAATTGGAATGAATTTCTTAAATATATTAGGGCAGCCATTAGAACTACCAGCATCATTGTGGTTTTATGGTGATCGTTTCTGTTTTCTAGACATAAATGCGCTTGATACTTAATATCTCTTTTTGTTTTTCTATCTTAGGTTGCACTAAAGTGTACACAAAATCTTCCCACTTAAAAGCACACCTGCGAACTCACACTGGTACGTGGTTTTTTTTTTTTTTTCCTGGTTATGATTTTTTTTTTTTATAAGTATACGTTAGCCATCCTGTTTTTTTTTCCTCTCTGGTTTGCTTGAAAAGGTTTAACTTGATCTGCTTGAAAC